TCTGACGTAAAGCAATTACTCGTTATCTCTTTTATCCTTATCGGATTCACAATATTCCTTTTATATCCCTTCCTTTGTTCTTTACTTACGAGCTAACCCATTTGGGCATGGCATCGCTTTTGTCAGCGACTCGCTAGCTCTCACAAGAGACAACCAGGCGTCACACGATAGACGATAAGCAAGAGGGCGAAAAAGCAAAAAGAGGATGGATAAGACAACCCAACTACAAGTCTAGCTACCGAGGAGAATAGATGAGAATAGAGCTAAGGAATATAACTACAAAATACCTAGTCTTATATACGAAATGGGATATGAAACCGTGAGAGATGTCTCGCACCGTAACCGTGAGGATCTACAATAAGAGTCGCTCGTATCCATAAGTAAAGCTGTAGGTATTAGGTGAGTAAACAATAAGGCAATATGAAAAGAAGCATGGAAGCGGAACAATAATGACGTCATCCTGTCAATGAGCTGACAGGCACGAGAGAGTTGCGCCTAAGTGAAACGACAACGCGAGAACAATAAGGTTGACGCGTGTAACCTAAATGATAATGAAAATATAATAAGCGCTAGTGTAAGCGCTTTGGTGATTAAGTAAGTAAATAAAAGAAAAGAATAATGAAAAAGATTGTTTCATGACAGCTTTGTGATCCTGACTCACCTTTAGTATAAAGCTACTGTATCAAATAGGTAGTTCCTCAGTTTAAATATCAACCTTGATAGCACTTTGATAGTGATACCAATTAATCATATATTTATATCATCATTTTAACATCCTTGCTGTCAGTATGTTCTGCGACGGTCATTGTGAATGGAACATGTTTCCTTTTCTTCTCTTGCGGACACGTGAAGTGTCGAGGGCTCTACTAATAGTGGAGTCAAGGTCTGACTACATTGTCTAGGATTGGTTTACCTCGCAAAGTATTTCCCTTCATATTTTCTCGCGATCATCCCGCGATCATTCCTGACAATCCCTTTGTGCATGATCATAACAGATATTTAAACTGGAGAACTATCTACTGGACACTAATGCTTATATACCAGTAATCCTAATTGTTAAAAAGAAGAACAATGAGTATCTGGGATAAAACAATAAGTATTGTAAAAAGTTCCCGATAATATAAATAAAAGATAATAGTGTGAGAATTAAAAGTAATTATATCTGTTAACATCGGATGTGTTGTATGGTCCAGTCCCAAACCAATATGGAAAGGAAAGGAATGAATTATAAATGTTGGTTTCATATGTTCTGTACAAAGTAGCAGAAGCATACCTGTAACATTAACTCATCAGAGAAAGAGCACATAAAAGGAATAGTGCTCATCCAATAATGATAAGGAAAGATAATGAAGAATTACTTCACATTGGAAATCCTTTGCAAAGGAATACATAGTTGTATGGAGATGTAAGTAGTATATCTGAGATATGGAAAACAATTGTGAAGCTTTATAAGGACTTGGCTTAGCACAGATATAACAGATGAAGGATGTTGGCCTACACCACCAAACTATTAGAAACCAAGCAGGTTGAGGGACATGACAGAATCATTACTATCACCCTATCTTTTGTGTCTAGAGGAAAAGCTGATGAATTCGCACAGGTCTTATACAATAACCACTTTGATGAAACAATGCACACCTGGGATGAGGCCACAGGTATATTCAATTTACTCCAATCTTCTGCTTTGCATGATATGAATAATCCTTCTAGTTGTACCATCAAAGAGTGGCAGTCTGGGCAAGATTTTACTGGCTGGACACAGAGGAGTGTCTCACACCTGGTCCAATGAAAGAAGTGAAGTATAGAAATCCAAGAACACTGGTTACGGCCTTGGACAAGCTGACCTAGGGGACCCATACTGGGGTGCTAGATGTATCGAAAAGTTTAGGAATATGTATCGCAGGAGAAATGTAAAGAGAGATTATCCGGATGATAAAAATTTAAACTCTGGCAACAACCGGCCCCAGAGCCTTGGTGGATGTGTGGTGACGTGAATAGGGCGTGTTTTGTATTAGTGTACCCCTGAGGCCCTACACCTTGCTTGGCGCGCTCTTTTCAATCCGTTCCCCTAAAATCCGAGAACCGGACTCTTCTTCCCCTTTTTTGTGCATTGCCGTGATCTAGATGATTGCTATTGAATTTATCTCTTCTTTGCTTGCTATTGGCTAATCTTTGCGGCACCTCTCCGATTGCTGTTAAGAGGCTTTCGAATCCTTCACCTTCCGAGTCGTTTCTCCGTACTCACCCTGTCAATGACAGCCCAAGCGTTGAGGGTAATGTCTCCGATTCCGTTAAAACATGAGTACAAGCTATTTAATCAATTATAAGGACAGCAACAATCATATTTAGTGATTCTATGTAGTTTCGAAAATGAGAGGTCACACTAAATGGCGTGATATGTCGTGACAAGCCTGACCGCGACATCTGATATGTATCCCCACCAATGCGCATGAACCACTAGGAAGACCATGTCACAAGAAGATTGCAGAAAATTTGGTCCAGATTATTCAAATTATGGCGCTACAACCTCAGGGGGTACTTCGCAGGAGGTAGAAGATGGGACAATAATGAATAATGTCAACACAGGACTTCACAGAGGACTTTCAGCCAGACAAGTCCAAATGATTGCTATTGCGGGTACTATCGGAACAGGGTTGTTTCTTGGTATGCCTCTGTTCTGCGGATGACAAAAATTTTGCAACTCAGTATATTGATGTCAAGGCACTGGCAAATCTCTCGCAGAAGGTGGACCGGCCAGTATCCTCATCTGCTACGCCATCGTTGGATTCATTGTTTATGTGACTTTACTACTCTTGGGCGAAATGGCTACCCAGTATCCTGTAGCAGGCTCCTTCAATGCATACACAACCAGATTCTTTTCTCCATCTTACGGTTTTGCTTTGTCATGGAATTATTGGTTCAACGATGCAGTTTCAGTTGCATCTGATCTCACCGCTGCCCAACTGGTTCTTCACTTCTGGGTTGTCCAACATTCGTGGATCGTTAGTTTGGTATTTTGGGTATTCCTGGTCAGTATTAATGCCATTCACGTTCGGGCATATGGGGAACTTGGTATGGGAGCTTCCAACATGTCATTTGTATCTCCTTCTCACACTAATCTTCACCCAGAATATTGGCTATCCTCGCTCAAAGTCATCGCTATCATCATCTTCATCATCCTTGGTGTTCTCGTTAACGTCGGCGTGAATCAGGAACATCAATACATCGGAGCGCGGTATTGGCATATCCCAGGCGCGCCGTTTGTAAGAGGTTTTGGTGGATTCGCTCAAGTGTTCGTCACCGCTAGCTTTGCTTGTTTGTGAAAAATTCCGGAATCTCCTTTCCTACACCCTAAAACCATTGTTCATTAGATGGCGGCACGGAAAGCTTGGGGATCACAGCAGGAGAAACAAGGAACCCGTCTAGGAACATGCCACGGGTAGTCAAATTTGTCTTCTGGAGGTACATATACCAATCGCACCACAACGCGTTAGAGTTTGCTAATACCTTCGCAGGATCTTGCTATTTTATCTGCTGAGTATATTACTTATAGGCTTGAACGGTGCGCTCTAGAATCAGTACGCTGGAACAATTCTTCTGAAATATGACTTCACGCAGTTCCTTGGGACTATCCCAACCTATCCAACAAAACGACGACTACGTCTCCTTTCACACTTGTATTCCAACAAGCAGGTTCAAGTGAGCTGCGCATGAAATTCTTCCCGGCGGAAATGTTATTTACAGCTTCAAACATTTGATTAGCCGTCGCCGCTTCTTTCATGAACACTGTCATCCTCACCTCTGTTCTGTCAGCCGGAAACCATGCACTTTTTGCAGGAACTCGTGTTCTATATGGTCAGTACATGGTCATCGTTCGTGAGTACTTACCTATCTGATTCACCAAACAGGTTTGTCTGTCACTTCTCCTCGTCAAGCACCGGCCATATTTTCTTGGACGTCATCAAATGGTGTCCCAATTCCGGCCCTTCTGCTTACTAGTAGTGTCAGCGCCTTGTGCTTCGGCAGCAGCTTCATTGGCAGCGGTACACTCTGGGGATGGTTGCAGAACATTGTCGGAGTATCGAATCAGGTTTGTTTCTCTGCTCTTAGTATAAGGATGTGGGCGAAACCATACAATTTGCAGATTGCTTGGTTTTCCATTGGGCTTGCAAGCCGGCGGTTCCGCAAAGCATGGTTAGCACAGGGCCGTTCATTAGATGAGCTCAAATTTCGCCCCAAATGGACTTGGCCTTGGGGACCCCCATTCGTGGTATATTCGTTTTACTCAGAGACCTACTAGTTCCTGATGAAATGATTTCAGGTCGCTACCGTGGCTGCAATAATCATTGGTATGTCCTATTTCCTACTCGTTTTCCTTTTTGGTGTTGAGCATCTCACTAATTGTTTCTCTTCTTCAGTCCAGGGATGGTCATCAATCATCCCCAAGTTCTCTCCTATTGATTTCGTGTCATACTACATCGAGATACCAATCATGTTAGTGATGTATATCGCCTGGGCGTTCATCAATTGTCCTAGACGGCCTTCACGAACAACTGGACCCATCAATGAAAGCACTAGTGAAACATCTGGGTCTCGTAATCCTCGATCTCCTTCGCAGACTCCCCTTTTCGATGAAAGCGTACGACGCTCTTCATCCAAAAGGCGGCGAGAGAAAGCTGGAAAACGGTGGTACAATGATATTGTCGATGTACAGGTAGTAGACTTGTATCAAGATGAGCATGAAGAAGAGGAGGAGGACCGAGTCGACGATGGAGAAAGGGAAAGACGGTTGAAGGGATCTAGCTCTGTAAAAAGGACATTGTGGAGATTGTTTTATTTGATTGCATAGTACTATCTATGAGAATATTAGATCACGACAGTGAGTGTTCTCTACGTTTGACTACTAGAACTGGTAAAATAATGTTCTCTCAAACGAAAAGATTAATTTGCTATATGAATACATCAAGGTTCGCATCTTGTTTTGCTTTGCAAAAGGTTAATTCCTTCTAGCCGACTTGAACGACTGACCTCGTCATTAACACCACCATTAGCTGCTACTAGTGACGCGCTCTACCAACTGAGCTAAGAAGGATGTTACTAATTTTGCAGACCAAATATATTAAAAACATGTTGCAGAGGAATTCATATACAAAGCTCACCCAAAAAAATGAACAAATAGAAAATGAGATGGAATCAAGATGTGTTCCACTAGTAGCCCATTCAAAATTGACCAACGCCATCAGAGTCTTCTACACTACATCAGTACATATTAGAGTATGGGGCATTTTTGCGGTAAATCCATCTCTGAATCTGGGATGTCAAGGGCAATCCACACGGGGAAGATTGAGGTTACTTACACTACTTTGAATTTTTCACAGATCGAAGGTGATTTTTACTACTGTGATTGCTCTGTCCCTTCAGTAGCTCTGAACTATTTCCCAATGGACCCAGTCCAGAAGTATATTTGAGATCAAACGGCTGAATGGGTTGATTCTGATTTTGAAGGCGCCTGTTGTCTTGTCCTGAGTGATTCTGATTTAGATCTTCTAGAGCCACTGCCTCAAAGGGTGAAGTTTCAACATCAAGAGGCGGAGAATGGAACTCGGAGATGGTGTGTTCAACATCTATACCAAGTCCAATGCGAACAATGATGAATGTGAATGATATACCCTGCCACAGAACACATAAACACATGCAAGTAATCAGAGGACAAGCCACTCACCACAACCTGTGTCAGCACACAAGAACTCAAAACTTCAACTCCACTGCCAGAAAGAAACAATGCCACCCAGATGATTAAAAATATCGGTGTGATCATAGCAGATTCCAGACTAAAGCAAAATGTGAAGGGGAAACAATAGACAAGATAACTGTCAGACCTACATAGGTCCGAATAAATCTCTTCTTGCTTCGTGATATGGATCTGGAGTTACCCAAATTTTTTTGATACTTTGATTGTTCCAGCATATTCTGCCAGCTGAGGTGTATTTAGTGATGAAATTTCAATTGCACATTCAACTTACCTATCATTACTGACAAGTAGAGATTTTGTAGGAGTGTCACACTGATATAGACCATGTATGCCTGTGAGGATCCAGGATATAGAGTTATTGTAATTATCCAGAGAACTCAAAGAATTGGACATTGGAAGTGAGTCATCGCTAAACTCAACAAGAAATAGAACTCAAATAATTACCCAAGGATGCAAGGATGAAGATTACAGGAACAAACACCACACGTTTTCTTGAGTTCCAGAGTCGGTAGCAACGTCGTATCTATTCCAAACTCTAACTGAGAAGAGCAATCATTCAACATGGATAAATCAAGAAACAATACTCACCAGCATGACATCTGCTAATGAGCTGGACATGATATACTTGAGGCGGAAGTGGACACAGTTTTTTGAAATGATGGATCACTTACCTAGCACACAGAAAGAGTCCCTCCGAGGCGGAGGTCACTGCAGGTACATATGGCAAAGAAGGATCAATGTATCCTACTGAGCTTTGATACATGAGAAATGGCAGGAGTATCTGTCCGCATCTATAAACCAGATCAAGTATGACAGACACTGTAGCAATCGTGTAGAAGACAAGAGTTGCAATGATATGGAGTTTTCCCGGTGTAAACTTTCGCCGGAAGATGTATATGCTGAGTCCAAAGAGCACTGTGAAAATACCTAAATAGATATGAGATCAGAATTTGACTACAAAATTAGCTAGCTCGCCGTATAACAATAGGCCGAACTATATGTTTTTATAATCAATGAACCCTGAAATCAGCAGGGATCATTGCAAGGATGAGTGCTGCATGCGTACTGCAGCTGGAATAATCAATAAAGTCAGTTGCTGTTGAAGAACGTGAGGCGATTCAAAGGTCATGCATGTTGCGCTTTCTGGGCAACTAAAGTCTTGATCAACCATGATGTGGATGGACTTATGAGTTTAGGACAGGAAAGCTGAGCAATGAGAAACTAGTACCTGATGGTTGAGTGGATTTTTATATCAGCTCACAGTATCCTCGAGAACGTTGCATCAACTAAACCTTCGCTTCCGATCCCATCGTATTACTGACCTGTCGAAAAAGTCTAAAAGCGAGTGATACTATCCTCTCCTGAAGGGGCAGTGCTTTATTTCATGATGCGGGTAGGCATTGATCAGAGTCGGAGAAAGCTTGGTTGCCATCCTTCCCGGCTGTACTATTGCACCCAAGGACTCTGTTATTCATATCAGTCGAATAGGGACTAATGAGAGTGTAATTTATCAATCATGAGATGTGATAAATTTGAGAACGTACTTCTCTCAAATCATACTTGTTTGACGATTTTCAGTCATTAAGTACCCTCGAACAATGGCTATGGGCTTGAGCTTGCTTTCATGTACCGTAATAAGTGTGAAGTGCGAATTGCCGTTATTTTCCAACCTGCTTGGACAGCAGTAGTAGCCCATGGGTGTTTAAGCTCTTCCACTCTCCTTTCTGCAACGCTACAAGATGAACTCATGCCACATCCTCTCAACGATGGTGGTTTATGGCTTGAACCGCCGCCTTTATCCGTGTTGAGGAGTGAAGGTAGGCAAGACACGATCGGTAAAACCCGTCGGGCACAGGTATAGAACTGCCCCTTTGCAAATACCCTTCGTTTCAAGTCCTGTTTTGTGTTCTGCATCTGTCGATACGCTGTGCGTCTCGACGGATCTTATCCCAACCAGACACCCTATTTATCATGGGCATTTGTAGATAATTTTCCCTCAGTCGTTCACACTTCTAAGTGTGATCCTGAGGGTACGTCTTTATTATATACTACTGTCGCTACAGCTATCTGACATGCCTACGTAGTATCTATACTTACTGTAGCTTAACAGGTAGTTATTTAATTCATGGAGTCGTTCACACTTCTAAGTGTGATCCTGAGGTATCTATACTTACTGTAGCTTAACAATCCGCGTTCTGCGGAAATTACCCGCTGACATAGGCAGCTCGCACCGTACCTCATAGACCCAATGCATGCCAAAACCCGGCTTTACTCTATAGTTTCATAACTCAGTTGGAAATACAACAGGTGGGCAATCACTACGAGTCGATTTTCCATTACGCTACATTCGGCTCAAATCTCTTCTTACACGTTTAGATGGCTCGGGTGTTGAAACGGATCTTTGCCCTCGAGCTCATATCTAGTTCATTGAGCTGAATTGATCTGTCTTCTGGTTCAGGCTAGTCCCTGTACATGCAGCATTCACGGATCCTCCGGAACACGTATCATCAACGCTGCGATTCAGTTATATCTCACTCCACTTGAAGACCACTCATTGTCCAAACTCGTCATGCTCACTTGTGCTTTGCTGTCGCTTCAAATTGATCATCTGCTTTTCTATTACAAGAAAAACGAGTCTGGCCAGTTTGCGCCAGGTGGACGCCCACATTCCTTTGTCTTGTCTTCCCCCCTGACTGGTTCATTCGGATGTCGCGCATTACTGAATTCTACCTCACTATGAATTGTTCTAAAACAATACATGTTTACCAGTTGAAAGAACCAACGGGTCTGTGTTACGGCTGTTATGTGACGAATTTACTGACTAGGTCCTTTAGAGAACAAAACCTGAGTTGAACACTATCGTGGATTTATGTGTCAATGCATATCGTGGAGGTAACTCTGTTTCCACCCTGCGTGAGCTCAGATTATGACATTACTTACGCAAATGTTTGCAGATATCATTTCCAAAATCTTCACAGGTGACAATCCCACTCTTGACGAGCCATTGTGGAGAGCAATGGTCCGGGCAGGATTTCATAGTGGCGCTGTCTACGTTGCGACCGATGACATTGACCCGAACCCAATAATGTCGATTGGCGTTTGGTTCGGACCAGGAAATGTCTTGTAATTGACGTGAGTCTTTTCTTCTCGGTGAAGGATCTTCACTAAGAGAGCAATCTCACAGAGAAGACCAACGTGTGCTGGGATACCCAAAATCTTTCCTGAAACTTTCTCCTGAATGTCGGGAATGGATGATGAGCAATGTGAGCCACCATCTCTTGAGTCATCGACAACAATTGAACTCACATTTTGGACCAAAAGTGCCAGAATCAAGGATCAAGCCCTGGGTCTAACTGTGAGACCCACCTTCATGTTTCTGTCAATAGACAACCCAATCGCTGTACCATCACCTGCAGACCGAACGCGATAGTTGGTACTGTAATATACTCGCCACACACCCAAACCATCAACGGCAAGGACTCGGGACAGCGATTATCAAAACTGTTTGTGCCAGAGTGAGCCTCAATGTTTCCGACATCCCTCTAACTCATATACGGCTACTTCGTCTCTGTGTCCCCCAGGCCGCAAGTGGAAGGCGTGCCTATATGTCTTGGTACTTAGTCTGAAAAAACGTACGGCATTGGCTTGATTCATAGGATCATTGAACCAATCGGTTTTATCAACAGGCTATCTTCTATCGTCACTTTCGATTCCGCGAGGTTGGAAAGTTGGATGAACTGACGCCTTGGGAATAAATCACAGGAAATGTATTTATTCTCGATCCATCTGGCGACAGGCAGTGACGAGGTGCCATTAGATCCTCCAAGTTACTCATGAGTAGAGACAGGACACAAACATTTGCGACTTAACCACTGGCTAGAATTTGGAAAACTTTGTATATTGCCTCGACATTCAAATTGTTGACTATGACTCAGCAACTTGCATTTCGAGTTGAGATGCCGATCCTGATTGAAACTTGAGGACGTTGTACTTATGATTTGCCTACGACCCGAGGGGCTGGTTAGGGCTTCGTTCGTCTTTGAAACAACTGAGAACGGGATGCGCGCTCATGCTGAGTGCTCAGGTTATATACATCGAGCGTTTACAAACTTGGATAAACCGCACACTGGCGAAACTTGAATCATAATAACACCGCTCATTTTCCCCAACTTGTAGAAGTCGAACAGGCTAGGGGAAACAATCTATGTGAAACGGACATCACATTCAGCATTGGGCCCATAGGTCTACCTACCAAAGACAAGCTGCAGATACCACACGATGTAGGCAGCTTTAGTCTCAGCCCTCCAGCTTGTTCTTCAAGCAGGGAGAGCAGCAGTCGA